TATTTTTAATTATTTTTTGATAATATTGAAATATAGTATCCCCTCTACCATACCCTTACTCCATATAATTTTTAACATTAGTAATCTTTGCGCTGACTATGGGTCCAGCAAATCATCCAATATCACAGAATATTCTTGAGGACATACAGAATATTCTTGTTTTTTCAGGGCTACCTCATAATGAACTTTAAATGTGCCAGAGTACAGATTTTAGTTACAAGTAATAAGCGAGCTATTAAACAAATGATCGTTGCAGATTCACTTGACCGCCTTTATATAACAAAAATGCAAAAAATAAATAGTTTGAAAATAAATAAGTTTTGTCAAATGTTTTACTATTTTTCATAGGCTTTTTCCTAGTCGCTATTATTATTGGTTTAATTTATAAATTAATGATTAGTGGACTGAATAACAAATAACATAAAACATGGATAACTCGGTGTCGGCCGACGATCGGCTTAAAGTACACGAGTTGTGTAAATCATATTTAGGCGGCAAATGGGCTGAAGTTAGTGCCGATCAACTCATTATGAAACCAATCAAGTACGATTTAATAAAGGTGCATTTGTTCAAGTTATCTAATACACGTATTTGTATTTTAATTCAGTGACGGATTCGTTAATAAACTATTATATTCATTTGCCCGAAAACATTGAATCCCAATATTATAAGGTTGTGGTCAGGTTTGAGGACACACTCGAAGAATATTGTAATACCACTCATGTATTGGTCGTTGCATTGATAGTATCCTCGAAGGGATTATCACCGAAAATTCTCAGTGTTTTTTGATAAGGGGGTCATAAGTTATGACTCATAACTAGGGCTGCCAACTATTTTCTTGGCCTGGGAGGACAAATAGTCAAAATTGAGTCTGTTCAGGAGGACATTGGGAGGACAACAATTTTTTAAAAATGTTTAATTATTAATATTGCTATATATTTTAACTCTTAATAGCTACACTATCATTTAATCCTAAGTACAATTCAAATACAATACACTACTTGTTGTTATGCTAACAATTATTTCATAAATTGTTTAAGAAATGATTACAAACTCGCAGATTATTTTCATGAATTTCGAGAAGTAATTGAAAATTAAATGAATATTTGAATTATTTTAACAATTATCTCTGGACATTACATTGTCCTCCTGAGACCCTCGGGAGGACTGTTTTTTGAGGGACCTATTGGAGGACAATCCTCCTAAAGGAGGAGGTTTGGCAGCCCTACTCATAACTGAATTGATGTACAGTATAATGCAATTAAATTATTTATTGCTATTATATGAATAATGTGTGAATACTGTAAAAATTGCCTAAAAGTCTATAACTTTAAAAATAGTGTCGATATTTGAATGCCGGCGATGACCTCAACCCCAAAACTGTTAAACTGTTGTACCGTATGAGGCATTTCAGACAGCTTATACTATGAAGTAGTATAGCTACAAAATAAGCTGTCTGAAATGCCTCATACGGTATTCTGTCAATTCACATGGCCATTTGCATAGAATATTGCTTCATCACAGAATAGCAGTCGTTCTGTCAACTTTGGATTCAATTCTATTTGGTTTAACATCCAATCGGCAAAATTCAAACGATTGTCTGGATCATTTTCTAAATAGAATAATGTAGGTAAGGGAAGTCGGCAAGGCTGACCCGTAACTTCGGGACAAGGATTGGCTCTGAAGAATAATTACCGTTTTTGTGGAGTAATTCATACACTCTTCTGATTGTCCTCATATCTGGATGTCTGCCAATTCGATCCGGGTAGAGTTCTTTATAGGATTTCGCACTATAATAACTCTTTGATTTGCCACAAATTGCAATCATATCTAATTTCTCTTCAAGAGAATAGAATGACTTTTTAGTGGTCTCTTCCGTTGAGACACTGTTAGTGACCGCAGACTTCAAGTACTTCTTAATGAAAGGCTGCAATCTCTCAATTGTGTTTATTTTAATAATCACTGCTATTTATTCACATTTATTTCATTCAAATACTTTATAAAAACTCCTATTTGTGTTAACTTTATGTCAACACGTGTTTTATGATAAAACCAGTTTATACTTAGGGATCATTCAATAAGTACGTACGCACTGGATGGGGGGAGGGGAGTTCAGCCAAGGCATGCGTACACAATGTTAAAATCCTATGTACGAGGGACGTTTCGGGGGGAGGGGGGGTCAATTTTTAGACCAATTTTTGCGTACGTACTTATTGAATGGCCCCTTATGATAACTTGTGATTTCGAGGTTTGAGTGTATGGGTAAAAAAGATAAACTAGTGCTGTCTCTGGCGCGCAGTACTGTACATAACATATACATTATAATGTTATATGAATATCATATCATTTTGGAAATATGAATGGCATATACAGTCTACAGCAGAGGTGTCCTGACATTATTTATTGAAGGTTTTACAGTTAATCAATTTTATAGTCAATCATAGTTAATGTTGTATTTTACAATTTTTATAATCCTTTTCATTATAAGTAATTATTAATCCCTACTCATCCATGTGTTATGGTATTTGTGATTAGTTTTTAATAAAATGATTACATGTAGGGTGGATTCCCATGCATTGGATGTATAATACATGTGTATTATTCTATGTATTATACATGTAGAATACATGAGCCCTTTTACCATACATACATGAAGTCCCGCCCCTATTGAGAAAACAGTCAAATATCTGATTATTTTCAATATTATTCAAATATAAGTCTTGTAAATATCGTTTGAAAATCCAAATTATTATTTTAATTAATTTTATTTGATTAAAAATGAGTAAAATTACTCAAAATCATGTGTTTATAAAAATTTTCCCAAAATGGATGACAAGAATTCTTTCAATCTTTAAAACAAAAATATCAAAAATTGAGCTGGATTGAAAATTAAACTTGCTAAATATTTCATAAGTTTATTCTTAATTAGTTTTATATTCAATTTAGTAATAAAATTAGAGTAACCATTTAATAAGTATGATATTAATTAATATTTACTATTATTTATGCCTATTTTTAAAAATACATGAATAATACACGATATACATGGAATAATACATGTATAATACATGACGAAAAAATTATCATGTATTATATCCACCCTAATTACAAGTACTGTAATAATGCCCATTCTTGCCCTCAAGGACATTTCTGGTCTACAGTAATATTTAGTACTGTACTTAAAACGCACTTTACTTTTATCATCATGATAATCGCATTAAATAAATATGTTTTCAAACACTATAACTATAAGCATTATAAATGAATTTTGATTTCAACGTATTCATACAGAATTACTAAAACCAATTGTAACTTGTCCCAAAATTATTTCAATCAGTTAGATAACTTATTAAAACAAAGTTAACTAGTTAATATTATTTAATGAAATGACAAAACAGTTAAATATACTGTTCATACCGTTCCCAGTGGTGGGTCGTGTGAACGGCAGTGTCGGCGTTGCGGAGGTACTGATAGCCGCCGGACATAGCGTCACATTCGCGGTGAGCCACCACTGGTTGGGAAGGCTAACAAAGTACGGCATTCGGGAGGTACTACTCGATGACACCGACACCTCGTCTCAGGACTTCATCAAATCATTTTCCCAACAACTGGTTAAGTCACAGATTGTGAGTTCAGTGTCCCCTTTGGAAAAGGCGAGGACTAGGGGCAAAAAGTATCAGGATAGAGTGGACAAGGTGCTAAAGTTGGATAAACATATTGAGAAAATGCTGATAGATTTGAAACCAGATTGTGTAATACTGGATCAGTTTGTGGCCATACCTTCTGTGGTACTGTCAGGTATACCCTTTGTGAACTCAAATAGCGTAGCGCCCCTATCCATGTGGGACGACCCCCGGACACCACCCCCGTCATCGGGTAATTAAATATATAAATTATTTATAAAATATTTATTTTTTATTAAATAATTTTGAACAAAACAATAATAGTTTAATAGTAAAATAAAAATTAATGTGATAATTTTATGTAAATATAAAGATGATGGAAATTGTAAATTAATTAAATAATTTAAATTATGATGTGTTTAGGACTCTCTGCGAATGGAGACAAGACATTATGGCATCAATTCCGGGAAGTTATGTATAAGAGTAAAGAGTCGTGGATTCAATTCAATCATTATATCGTCTCAAGAGGTGGACAACCGTTGAATGAAAACTGTTTTCACGATACAAAACAAGCCCTTAATATATACGGCTATCCATTGGAGTTGGACTACACCGACATCAGACCTCTGCCTAAGAATTACATCAGATTTGATAATTTTAAGAGAACTGAAAAGGAGTTGGAGTTTGAGATACCGGTGCCATTGAGGGACAGACCTGGAAAATTGATATACTTCTCATTGGGATCGATGGCATCTGCAGACGTGAAGAATATGAAGAGATTAGTGACTATTTTGTCGAAATCTAAGCACAGATTCATTGTATC